GGGAGGATAATCAAACAAAATGCCTGGAAAGTAGAAGCAGGGGATATTGCTGTTAAAACATTAAAATAAGGGAAAATATGGAGTAAATTTTGTTCCACTACTGTTGCAAGAATATAGAAAGTTTTGTAAATGGGAATTTGATAAAAAAAAAAAATGCAATCCAGAAATGAAACTTGCTGCTTCCTCAGATTTTAGGATAAAATTGACAAATAATAAACATTTTTTGAAAAAATAAAATAACTTCAAATAATAATAATAATAATAATAATAAAGCAGAAAAGCTTCTCAAAAAAAACTTTTCTTGATTACATTTCCATGTACAAAACATGTTTAGTTTTTTTTACTTTCTGTTTACAAAACACGTTTTTGCTTGCAAAAAATTATGTGACAAAATTCACTCCATAGAACAACACCAAAAGAAACACCTCAGTGTTTCCACTAAAATAACCTTTTACAGGAATCAGGACATTATTGTTTTGGGGTCTCCTTTATTCCATCTTATTAGTGATGCATGATATATCTGCATTAATATTGGTATCAGCCAATTTTGTATCATTTTTGAGTGTATCTAGATCAGTTGATAAGTAAATCTAAGCCAATTATTAACAACGTATGTTTATTTTTATGCAGTTGCAGGTTTTGTTAAGGGGGGGGGACTGGTTGCTCATGTGGTGTTAGATATATTTTGACTGAAGCTGAGAAGCAGTGGCTCTGCTGTGTCTGTTTTGTTTATGATATCAAAGGGAAGGGAAACATTTGATATCACTAAATATCACTTATCAGCCATTGTTGTGAAATGATGTGGAAACAATCATCAGCTCCTGAATGTCAACAAAACAAGGGAGGGCATAGTAGATTTCAGAAGAAACAGGAACAAGCTGAAACCTATTAACATCGAGGGAGAAGAAGTTGAGGTGGTGCAGGAGTATAAATACCTCGGTTCACCTGGACGACAAACTAGACTGTAGACACAACTGTGAAGCCGTCTACAGGAAAGGAAAAAGCAAATTGTACTTCCAAAGGAAGCTTAGGTCCTATGGCGTAAGCAACAAGATGCTACATATCTTGTGGAGAGTGGGGACTCTTCCTCCATCATCTGCTGGGGTAACAGAGCTAATGACTTTTAAAAAAAGCTCAACAAGCTAATTGAAAAGAACCTCTGGAGGATATTTCACAAAGAAGAATTCTTCATAAAGTGAAGAACATTATGGACAACAGTGAGCATCCTCTTCAGAAGTGTCTTCAGTCAGAGGCTTCTGCAGACCCGGTGCGATACAGACCACTACAGATGAGCCTTCATGTCTACAATTTAGGAATGGGTCTGGTTGGGAGATGCATTTGTTTTTTTGTTTTTTAACGCTTGCATGTTTTGGGAGTTTTGCATTATAACTGCTTTTGCAGTTTGCACCGTACTTTTAGGACCGAAATAATCTGTTTTTAAAATAAATAAATACATACAGCATTTTATCTCGAATAATTTCTTTCACTTACTTTGTCAAATTTTTAATACTCTGGAAAAGTGGAAAACAAATAGCCAGATGTTGTTATTCTTCCATCCGTCTTTATTCCCATATCGATCTAAACATAGCAACAACAAAAAACCCAAACTTAACATATATCCATCCATCCTTTCTGTGACACGCTTAAGCCCAAGCGGGGTCACGAAAGGGTGCAGGTGCCTATCTCTAGCTGTTTACAGGCGAGAGGACCGTCGAGGATCCATCACGGGCAACACAGAGACAAACAACCATTCACACACACACCTAAGGAGAACTTAGAAAAGCCAATTAACCTAACGGTCATGTTTTTGGACTGTGGGAGGAAGCAGGAGTACCCGGAGAGAACTCACGCATGCTCAGGGAGAACATGCAAACTCCATGTAGAAAGACACCATGCAGGGGAAAAAAATTTAAAATAGAAAAAATTTATTTATATATATATATATATATATATATATATATATCCTGAAATCCCCCCATTAGAAGGAGCATCATCATTGACCTTGACTCCCTCAGAGTGAAACTAAACATCAGCAGCAGGACTGCAGTGAGCTGTCAGCACCACATGCCAGCATCACCTTCAGCACAAACACATTAACTTGTCCTAAAGATGCATCTATCAACATTACAGATCATTGATGCCCAGGGAAACAATAAAAATGGCAGAAAATATGATCCGTTTAATCACACAAACCTGCAGGTAAAATCATTTTAAATAAAGTTACATAAGTGAGTCAGCAGTATGTTTCTAAGGCCTGAAGTAAAGCTCTTCATTTCAAACACTTCCTTCTTAAGAAGGCTGTTAGTTCTTCAACATTTCCTTAAATTTCAAGCAAATAACAGCCTCTACTTGGGTCATAACGCGCGTATTACCAAACTGCTGCATTCACTGGTTTTTAATAGCTGGATATATGTCGGGTTTAAAGCAAAAATAACACAAATAGGTTCAAAGTAACTCCATCTTCCGTTTAAGAACTTATACCCTGATTAATAAACAGTGAGGACGCGGCAGTTAGCTTCCGACAGCGCGACGAAAACAGCCGGTCTGTCATGATTTAACGAGCTTAAAGCGTTTAAAATATGTGCTGCTTACCTGTTGGGTACAGCTGTCTGCTGCCAAATATCCGCCAAGTTCTGCAGGAAAATGACAACAGTGTGGAGGTGAGGGACTGCAAACTGCAGCACTGTTTCTCTACGTCTGCTTCTGGACGTCACCCAAACCGCAGCAGCGTTAAGCCACGCCCCCCAGACGAGAACACCCGGACGTCATCACGTCGTCTCTTACGCTTTCTTCCTGGATGAAATTAAAATTAAATAAAGTTAAATAAGATAAAATAAAATAAAAATAAAATTAAGTTAAATAAGATTAAATAAAATAAAGTAAAATTTAATTGAAATGAACATAAATAAATGTATCATTTATTTTGAAACCATTTATTATTTTTGTTAAAATACAAGAGTTCCTCAACATATGTTTAAATTAATGTCGCATCCAATTAGAAACAATAAAAAACGCCTGTATACCTCGATTTTTGCTCTTAATACTTCAAATTCATAAGAATTAAAATAATTTGAGATATTGTTATTTTAAAATTTGCTTTTAGAAATACATATTAAAGATATATAATACATATTTCATATATATAAATATATATATATATATATAATGCAAAATATATCATTTAAAATGTATTTTAGAATTGTTTAATAAAAAAAGCTAGTTTTGTAGTAAAAACATATTTATCTTTGTATTTGAACATAACTTATTTTATATTGACTATAAATTTCTATTTCAAAATGACTGTTGAAGAGATAACAATAATTTTGATTTTACTGTCAGAGTGGCACTAAAGAAATTGGTAAGAAGTAAAATACTGATAGTCAGAGAGAATTGCACATGTTTGTTAGCAATGCAATGAAAAGAACAAGGGAAATCAATATATAAAACTCCACAAGCTCTTTTTAAATGCATTTTAGATTAAACTGGAGGCACACAGTCTATCAAACAAACATCTATACAAGTAGCCTGTATAGTTACATATACTGTAATCTGGGAATGTTTTATATCATCAAACAAAGGTAACCCAGTAAACTCTACAATCAGTTATCAAAAAATATTAGTGGCTGAGGAGAAAGAGATGCAGACGAAGTTGATTCGCCATCAATGTTCCACTGTGTATACCAGCTTTTATCATGCTGTTTACTTGCTTTTATTCTGCTTGTAGTATCTTTCTATTTTATTGTTGAATTCATTTCAAATAACTTTTACTTGTTTTTGTACTGAATTGTGCTATATAAATAAACATGCCCTGCCTTTGCCAGAATGAAATTTGATTAAGAGATTGTGATACAGGATATAAACCTTTTACATCCATTTACAGAAATATGTTACACTCCACAACATAGAAATGCTTTAATTCAGCCATGTTTAAGTTTCTCTGAGGATGGACAGCCTATTTAAGATTATGTCTACTAACTCAGTTAGATTTATGCAAATACTTTTTCTGAGCCATTAAAAGGTGGACTTGTTAATAATTGTTTCACTTTAGAACAGTTTTGTTTCTCCAAAATACATGTAATAAACACCTCAAACCATATATTTTTTTTGCCTATTTTTTTGTTCAGGTTTATTTCGATTGTCTTATTTATATTTTGACCATGGGTCCAACTCTTCTTTTTTGTCTGTTTTCTTTTCAATGAAAACAATATAAATAGAAAAAATAAAAAACATATAAATAGAAACTTTTATCACATCCCCATAGAGCTTATGTGTTGTACACTTTAAAAATAAATCTAAATACTTCAACAAGTAGAACATATTTTTAATCTATAGTTAAGAAAATTAAAATAATTATTAAAAATAATTCAATAAAAGGTCAATTTATGTATAGTTTGATTATTTTATTCATATTTTTACCATTTTAGCTACTTATAATTGATCATGAGTGCAACTCTTTTTTTTCCTATTTTCTGTCTGTCTTTTAAGAAAACAAGATAAATAGCGGGGAAAAAAAGGAATACAAAAGCATTGGACCAATCCCCAAAAAATTTTGATGGACCCTCTAAATAAATCTAAATACGTTGGCAAGTATTAAAATATTTAAATATATTGTTAGGTTAAAAATATATTATTCATTTTGTTTATTATTATTACAGAAAACATTGCAATAAAGCATTATAACTTGCAAAAGTCACATTCAAATTAGAAATCAATCTCCTTCAGAAATCACAGGAACGGTGTTCTGCTGCCATCGTGTGGATTTGTTGCGATACTGCAGATCCCAAAACCGGTTTTCTGGCTGGCCTTCCAGCTTTATTCCAGTCCATCCTAAGTTTTTGCCATTGAACCGTGGGAGTGTTTGTCAACTGAGACAGCTAAGGTTTGACCTAATGACAACATACCAACGGGACAGTGCTACCGTTTCCTCTTCATGTTGTTTTCAACATGCAGCTCCACCCAGTAGGTAGGGCAAACAGGTAAAGCAAGCAGGTTCAGCAACAGTTGAAACCAGACTCGCACCTCAGTCCTTATCCTTCTGAGGCTTTGGGAGGAGGGACTGTTTCTTTTTGCAGAGTTAAACGAAACTCCAACATTCAATGAAACTGTCTGTGGGAGTTCACAAGGGCCTCACAAGTTCTAGACCTCTACAACTTCTAGTCTAATTTTAAAGTTTAATGTAGATTTCTTTGTTCTTGTAAAAAATGGAGAGATTTGCTTTGTCAGTTGAAAAGACTAAGACTTGGGTTTTCTGTATGATCTTTTTGCTGCTTTGCTGCACTACTGGAAAATGCGAACTAAAGGAACCAAAGCCAACAGACTCAGGCATCTTTGAAACTGTCAAACCTTTTGACAGCGGTATTGAGGAACCTCAGCCCTTTCCAGAAGAGGAATATGGTAATCTTCCTGTGTTTACAATGGACTACGCTCGGATCCAGATCCCGTTTGAGTTCACCCTTTGGGTGCTATTGGCTTCCTTTTCCAAAATTGGTATGTAGAAAAGCAGACAGGTTCAACCGACTGCATATCTGGAGGTCTAACCCTAAAATCCTTCATCTTATCTTCCCAGGTTTCCACATTTACCAAAAAATCACCATCTGGATCCCAGAATCATGCCTCCTGATCGCTATCGGCCTTATAGTTGGGGCCATCATGCACTCTGTGAAGGAGGAACCCCCCGCCGTTCTCACCTCCAATGTCTTCTTTCTCTACATGCTACCGCCTATCATCCTGGACAGTGGTTACTTTATGCCCACCAGGCCTTTCTTTGAAAACATTGGGACGGTGCTGTGGTACGCCGTAGTTGGGACGTTGTGGAACAGCATTGGCATTGGCCTCTCCCTTTTCGCCATCTGCCAATTTGAATTGTTCGAAGTTCAAGACATTAATCTGCAGGTGAATTGTGAACCCTTTAGAGTGTCATGTCAACTATAAAAAAAAATCAGCTGCTGATACATGAAAAATATCTTTGCAGGAGAACTTGTTGTTTGCCTCCATCATCTCTGCTGTTGACCCTGTGGCGGCTCTCAATGTGTTCGATGATGTTGGAGTCAACGAGCAGATCTACATAGTGATTTTTGGAGAGGGCCTCTTCAATGATGCCGTCACTGTGGTGAGTAATTGTTGGCGTGATACAGTTTATGTAGATAGTTTTTTATTTCACTCATGCAAACCTGATGGGGCAGATGGTTAGATTTCTCTTAAAACTATGACCCCTGAGAACCCAGATGCCTTGTGAGGTCAGCTTCAACAAAAGGTAATTGGTGTCTGTTTGGATTTTAAACCTTGCAACCCATAGGTCTCCTTCTTTTAGCCACTCTTTCAAATGAGAAACAGTTGAAAGGAAAGTCGGGAGAGTTAAAAACACACTCAATGTTGAAGTTCTTTCAGGTTCTTCCTCTTTAAATAGTCTTTAAGATTTTTTATCAGGACCTTTGAATAGAAACAAAACATCCATTTGGGTTTGTCAGCTTTATATTAATCTTTTTGGTAAAGGAAACATGCTAGAGGTGGGCGATAATGGGGATTTTTAACCGATACGATACCAAGTAAATTCAGGGTCAGTATCTACAATATCGATACAATACCGATACCTTTTAACAATCAAGCTTTATGTATTTATTTATTTATGAGGCAATGGGTAAAGTTTCGTCTCCTCTCTCTGTTTCTGTAGCTCGACATTTTCTTGCTCGTGTTGTATTTTCATGCGCTTTTATAAACCTGTTGTGTTTCCTCTGAATTTAATCGTCTTTTTACATCCATACAGCATGCTATTGTTTCATTTACATTGTTAAATATAGTCAAACGCTGCTTCTTTCCATCTTCATGTTTTTCTGCTCCGCTGCGGAGCAGCAGTGCAGTTGTATGTATTGATTGGAGAGAGAGCCGAGTGGGCGGGGTCATGCTGACCCTGTGTGCTGAGCCGGTGACGAGAGGGGAAGAGGGAGCAGCAAAGCGATGTAACACCGGTGGGAAGATTAGTCAATCTGCTGCAGTTAGTGCGTGCGGGAGAGAAGAAAAAGTATCGATCTTGTTTAACCAATATTATTTGATATCAATACCAAATATCGATAGTATCGATCTTAGGATCGATCCGCCCACCTCTAAAACATGCTCCTAATCGATTTCTTTTGCAAGTTGAATCCACAATCCGAAAAAGATTTGTGGGATCTCCTTGTAATTTGTCTAGAATATCTAAATTGTCCAAAACATTATACGCAACCTGATAGCCTTTTGACGGGACTTCCAGATTTGCAGCCTGGTGGTTTTATATGGCAGGCTAGACCGCCTTTGAAAGAACAGCAGCTGATTTAGATTATGCCTTTTGAGGCATTTTTGGTGTTTCAAGTTAACAGGTTAAAAAGCACTTCTTATTCTTTAATTGCGAAATCTGCTTATACAAACTCAGGCATCTAATAAAAACATAATAGAATAACAGAAAAAAAGCATCTGGAGTTTTTACATACCGGTAACCTAAAAGGTATTTTTGCCCAAACCATGTGCATTGTTTAGGTAAGGGTGAATTTCAGAGTTTCTGTCCTAAAGCAAAAATTTAAATATGTGGAAAAAACACGGAGATCCTATAGTGTTTCAGGACTATTTCCCCTTTGAAAGATAGCTAGAACCCTTTTAGACCCTTAGCATCATAAATTGTTTGAAATATTAGCAGATTTTATGTAAAAATCCAGCGTTCTCTTTCAGAAAACTGACCAATAATTTGGCTAAATTAGGTATTTGTAAACTGTGACTCCAGAGCTGCAATAAGTCTGAAAAAAGATGCATTTTTCTTGATAAAAGGTCAGAAACTATTTATTTTATATAACAGTACCAAGTACCAAAATCTAATACATAATAACATACAGTATAATGATATCTTGTAAAGACAAATATACACTTTGTAGTTTTTCAAACTAAAAATCTAAAACTTTTTAGACCTATAACAGAAATAAGATAATTATTTTTGATTATTTAGCAGATCTATAAAAGTATTATTTAGCTGGGTTTGATGTAAAATAGGCTCTTTAGATGAACCCCTGGGCTAAATCAACACAGAACAGGGTCTCTGCCTTTAAAAGTTAACATTAATAAGACTTTCACCTTTTTATTTTGCAATAAAAAAAATAATTAAATTGCTCAAAGTCTGTTTTATATAAGAATGTGCTTCAAAGTGACTAATCTCAGTGTTACACAGACAGAGGGAAACCTCCCACCCTGCCTGACCATCAGTCCCCCTTTGTTGTGGTGCCTTCTTATAACAATGGCAGCTGCTTCAGAGTTTCACTAGAAAGGCAAGTTTCAATGCAGGTCTGCTGGTACATTGTTAACAGCTGCATGAGCTCAGGCATGCAGGCAGGAATGGAAGATTTCCGCTTCAGATTCTCCCACTGGAAAATAAAATATCATGCTTTTGTTTTATGTGTCCAGTTCCAGTTCAGTCAGCTTAAGTGTTTAAGTTGTAACCTTGTGGTTAATATATACATACATACATTTACATACATACATACATTTATACACAAATGTTAGCCCTTATAAAAGGACAAAATGTAAGAAAAGAAACAGCAGGGATGAAACCAGTGCGCTTTCACTTACTCTTGTATTGAATATTGCAGAAGAGCAGAACACAGAAATCTCATTTCTTACAATACTCATCCTTAATGATGAAAAACAAGAGTACACTGTTTATACTATATAAAAGTCACAAGCAATAATAAAATTTAAACAAATCCAACTGCTGTTAGCAACAGAGCTAAGTTAATTAGCCAAACAGTATTCACACATCAATTTAAAACACTATGAACTAAATACATACAAATTACACTGCTTGTAGTCTATAAGAATCACAAGTAATAATTACAATTCAAACAAATCAAACTGCCAATCGGAAGACGAGGCCTACTGCCATTAGCAACAGAGCTAGGTTAATTAGCCAAACAGTATTCACATATAAGTTTAAAACACTGAACTAAATACAAACAAATTCACGCATACAGGGCTAATATTTATCCACGTGTTATTCTCCTGAGAGTTACATATAATTTCTTACCTTATAAAAGGACAAAATGTAAGAAAAGAAACAGCAGGGATGAAACCAGTGCGCTTTCACTTACTCTTGTATTGAATATGCAGAAGAGCGCACTAGTCCCCCTAGTGGACTCTTTTGATAATGGCGCCAACACACCCCTCTTCCAGACAAACGACCCAAATCAATTCTTCCACACCCCAAACCAAACTAAATTAATGCAGATGATCAAAACAATTAGAATCAATATCAACAGGATCAAGTGAGTATTATACCCTGCAACATACTCCCCCACAAAATAGATGTTGTCCCCAACATCTCAACTCTTGCAGTGTTGGGAAAGTAGTAAACAACATGTGAAGCAAAACGTCAATGATAAAAATATTCCTTAAGCCATTCAATCTACTTACAGACTGGAACTCTTTTCATACATTTTCCTTTTGAGGGTAAACACCCATTGTCCATGTTCTAAACCTGAAAGTCACTACTTTTCCATCATCTTAGTGGTCATCCTGTGAGTTCATAACAAGAGTTCTTTGAAAAGTATGGTGTGGCTTGGATACCAATGTGTCAATTCACATAGGGAATAGTCCCTCATTGTGAGTGTCACAATAAACCGTCCATTATTTTATGAACCAACTGTGTGTCCATTCTTTCAGCTCACCGGTGCACCATTTCCTGTGCTCTCATCGCTGATAGTCATATGAGATGTAGTACGGGTAAACAATGTTCATCCATGGCATTGTGAAGTGTGTGGGCTGTGGTGGAGTCCTTAGGTTGTAGCAGACTGGAGATCCAAGTCTCTCATATGTAAAAACTTTGGGCTTCCTGTGAAGCCGTTGAGGTCGTTGGGCTTCCTCGGGAGCCTGAACTCCCTCTCTGATGATCCCAGGTGAAACAGGTTGTTCAGTGGTATCCTCCATCGTTTGTTCCTCATTACAAGCGCCAGACTCTCCATACTCCATTGAAGTTGTTTCTCCTTGTTTGTGATCCATTTCAGGAACTGTGCTCTCCCCGAACCAGACATCCCCTGGCTCTTGGGTTGTGCCTGCAGGCATAAGATTTTCTTTCTCAGGCTTGGCTGACTGGTGAAATAGCACAGGATAGTATTCGTCAGCATCATCCTCTTCCGACTGCTCCACTCCTTTGTTATTTAACACTTTTCTCCTCTTCTGTCCGGCCCGGACTGGGATCTCAAGGGGTAAGGAGTCACATGGGAGGAGCAGATTGCGGTGAAGGACCCTTGACCTTCTTTGACCTTTTTCAGGTTTCAGTTCATAAACTGGGACATTTTCATTTACCTGGCGTACAACAACATGAACAATGTCCTCCCAGTGATTCCTCAGTTTCCCTGGGCCCCCACGAGGCGTCATGTTGCGTACCAAAACACGATCACCTGGTTGTAATACTGAGCTTTTTACTTTGCTGTTGTAGAATTTCTTACTCCTCAGAACGGCCTTCTGGGCATTTTCCCTGGCGATTCCATATGCTTCCTCCATGCCCTGCTTCCACTTTTCCATGTAGCTATGATGATTATGGCCGGTCTGTTCTGGTGTCAAGTTAAACAGCATGTCGACTGGCAGTCGGGGAGAACGCCCATACAACAGCTGAAAGGGGGAGAAACCTGTCACCTCACTCCGAGTACAGTTATATGCATAGATCATTTTGTTTAACGAATCCTTCCAGTTGTGTTTTTGTTTGTCGGTGAGTGTCCTGAGCATCTGGAGTAATGTTCGGTTGAATCTTTCAACTTGTCCATTCCCTTGGGGGTGGTAGGGAGTGGTTCTGGACCCAGCAACTCCACAGTATTTTTTCAGTTGTGTGAACAGTTGATTCTCAAACTCACCACCCTGGTCGTGGTGAATACGGGTGGGAAAACCAAATCTCATGGCGTAATCATTAAAGATCTTGTCTGCTGCTGTTTTAGCTGATTTGGAAGTGGTGGCATAGGCCTGGGCAAAGCGAGTAAAATGATCAACGATCACCAGAATGTACTCATAGCCCCCGAGGCATTTCTCAAGATGCAGGAAATCAACAGATATAAGTTCAAATGGTTGAGTTGTTATGATGTTGGTGAGTGGAGCCCTTGATTCCTGACTGGGTTTCTTATGTTTGAGGCATTCACATTTGCTCATAACATAGTTCTCTATCTCACGCTGCATATATGGCCAATAAAACCTGTCCCGTATCAGAGATGATGTCCTGTCGACCCCTTGGTGGCCCATTTCAACATGAAGTTCCCTCAACACTGTACTTTTATGTTTTTCTGGAAGTACAAGTTGTTTTTTGCTTGTTGTCTTTCTGTGCAACACCCCACTTTCATCAATTTCCAATTTGTCCCACTCTCTTAGCAAACACCTTACTCGTGGACTAAGTTGTTTCAGATGTGCACATAACGGTTTGATTGCGGTTAGTTTGAACTGGATTACTGGTCCCAGAACTGGATCATTTCTTTGGTCATCCTGGATCTGTTCTGGTGTTAGCGGGATGATGGGCGTGTCAGGGATCAAAACTGCATTAGGTACCGAGACACACATGGACCACGACACACTGGATTCATCTTGATTTTTCACAGCTTCTGTAGTTGCCCCAATGACATCAGAGGGCATTTCTTCTGAACACTCTTTCATAAAAGACTCCACATCTAGAGGCATTCGGGATAAACTATCTGCGTCCACATTTTCTTTTCCTGGCCTGTATTTCACTGAGAAATTAAAATCTGCCAGCTCTGCAACCCATCTACATCCTGTTGCATTTAGTTTGGCAGTGGACAACACATATGTGAGTGGATTGTTGTCGCTATAGACGGTGAAGAATGGAGCATAGTATAGATAGTCTCTGAATTTCTCTGTTACAGCCCATTTAAGGGCGAGAAACTCCAACTTCCCCGAATGCAAGTGATAATTTTTCTCTGCAACTGTTAAGGTGCGTGACCCATAGGCAATTACACGGAGCTTTCCATTCTGCTTTTGGTACAGAACGACCCCTAGACCAAGATTGGACGCATCCGTGTGGAGAACAAATGGCTGTGAGAAATCTGGGAAGCCAAGAATAGGGGGGTTGACAAGGCAGTCAATGAGTTGTTCCAAAACCAACTGGTGTTTTTCAGTCCACTGAATGATTGTGCTGGATGAGACAGCTCTGTTGCCACTTTTTGTTGGCCACTTTTCCTTTTTGTTCATTAATGGCTCATGCCTTGTGGGTGCTTTTAACAGGTCATATAAGGGACTAGCAATACGTGAAAAGTCATTTATATATTGCCTGTAATAGCTCAGGAGTCCTAGAATTGCTCTCAACTCACCAACATTCACAGGATGTTTATGCTTTAGGGCTCTCACAGCATCAGTATCAGCTGGATCCATTCTGTTGCCCTCAGCAGACACAATCCTGCCCAGGTACCGCACCTCAGCTTTAAACAGCTCGCACTTTTTAGGCTTTAGCTTGATTCCATGCTGCCTCAGACGCTGCAACACTGCTCGGACATGGCTTACGTGATCTTCAAATGTTCTGCTAAACACAAGAACATCATCAAGATATGGTACACACACTTCATCTCTCAAATCTGCTAAACATTGCTCCATGCAGCGCTGGAAAGCTGCGGGTGCATTCATAAGGCCGAATGGAATTCTTATCCACTCATATAGACCCCAGGGAGTCACAAAGGCTGTTAAATGCCTGCTGTCTCTGTCCATGAATCCCTGATGATATGCTTTTCCTTGGTCCAGCAATGAAAAGTAGGTGTTTCCCCCCAAGTTATCCATTATATCTTGAACCCTGGGGATCGGATGACGATCAGGATGTGTTTTTTTGTTGAGCTCTCTGTAGTCTATACATAAACGCAGGGTGCCATCTTTTTTTCTTACGCAGACAATTGGCGAGGAGTAAGAAGATGTGGATCTTTCAACCCACCCTTGCGCTATGAGGTCCTGCAGGTAGTCTTTCATTTCCCTGTACAAAGGTTTTGGCACAGACCGGTATGTTTTTGACACTGGTTCATCATCCTTCAATGAAATATTCATTTGCAAGTTGTGTATGCAGCCAATATCGTCATCAGTTTTGGAGAAAGACTCAGATTCTTCTCTTAACATCTGACTTACTATTTGTCTCTGGCCCCCATCCAGGTGGGTTAAATCAACGGGAGGGTCCCACCATCCATCTGTGGGTGTACCTTCACTGGTGCTCTGGGCCTGGATGTGATTGATAGATTTACTTACTGGTGGTTGGGTTGTGCTGAATAAGTCAGCTGGGTATACAGACTTTACAGACTGTACAGCTCCAACTACTGTCCGGCCGGGAAGTGTAATGTCATGGTTTGTGGGGTTTTGAACACTTAAAACAACCTTTGTTGAAATTGTGCAGTCCCTCTCATCCATCCTGGATCATACAGAGGCCTGTACTCCCGCAGCAATTCTGGGTGCTGTTGAGGGTAAACTGGCATCATTGGGGACATGGACCTGAAGGACTGTTCTGTGGGTGAGAACACTGGACTTGCGGTAGACACTTGCTCTGAACTTAATGGAGGTTGCCTTGACTGTGCGTTAGCATTTTTTTGAATTGTTTCCCTGATTTGGGACACTTCAGCTCTGAGGTCCTTTAATAACACCATGTCAGAGCGCATTTCTTTGATCTCAGATAACACATCTGGGGACATTTGAGATCGGCTTTGCTGGGTTGAAGTTTTTGTTTCTCTGGGTAGCTCACCAGTCTGGACAGTACTTACACTGGTTGCCCTTTGTGGCGCAGCATGCCTCTTTTTGTCCTGCCTCTCCTTCTCATTTGTACAAGCAATATTCACTTTCTCCAGCAGCAGTTCATCAGGTGTGTCAGGCTTTGTGAGGTAAGGCTGAAGATCACTCTTGATGTTGTCATTCTGTAAACCAGTCAAGATGGTATGCATAAATAGATTTTGGACAAGAGCAGGATCATATTTTAAAGCTGACTCTGCTTCCTGAGAGGCAAACAGAATTTTCTGCCTCAGGTCCATCGCCCTGATTAAGAAATTCTGAGGAGACTCTTTGTTGCACTGAACCTCAGAAGTTAGCTGCTTGTACAAATCTGTGGCGCCCCTCTCCTGGTAATGGGACCTTAAGATTCTGCGCAGAGCAGGTAAGGTAAGGGTCTCTTTTCCCTCCAAATAGCTCCGTAATTGCAGGCCAGGTGTTATAGCACGGATAACAGCATCAATAATATCTGTCTCTGAATAGCCTTTGGTAAGCCCACTTTCAATTTGTCTTGCCAGGCTAGAGAATGTCAGCCGATCCTTCTGACCTGGCTCTCCTATCTGTCCAAGAATCTTGAAATCTTTGCGCCACATTGGGTTTTCTGAAAATGTTGGAGTCACATTTATCTGTGAAACCCGTGGGCATGACAGATATTTTCTGTCCATCACACCCTGGGCCTCTTTTTCTTTCTTTTGTAGTGACAATCTGAGCGCCTCTATTTCTTTTTGAAGCCTTTCCTGGTCATCAGATTGAGTTTCTACTCTAGGTGACTCTTCAACAGACTTTACTTTATTTATTGTGTCCCAGATGCTGAGATATTCTGACATGCCTTCATCTTCAAGGCTAGCCAGTTCCTCCCGTTCAAGGTATTTGACGACATTTGAAATTAGACGACTGCGTGTTTTACTAGTCAAAGGTTCTCTTCCAGGTGCTGAGAGCTGCAGTGTGATGCATACTTCAATCAGCTGTTCAACTGTTAAGTTATACAATGCTCCTTTAATTTCCAACTGAAGATTTTCCAATTCTGACTCCATTTTATCCTGGGATTTCAGAAGCAACAGAATGGGGCCCAACAGCCTTCAATTGATTTGTGTTGATCTCTAGTGGTCAGTGCACACTTCAGGATACAACCTGTCAACTGCTGGCTGAAGACCTCCACGCTGATTTCTGGTGGTTTGGGTTGTTTTGGGATGATCAGCAGGAGGGTTCCACAGGAGTTTGGGAATGATCCTCTAGCCAAATGATCCCAGCGGTGCCTCCAAATGTTAGCCCTTATAAAAGGACAAAATGTAAGAAAAGAAACAGCAGGGATGAAACCAGTGCGCTTTCACTTACTCTTGTATTGAATATTGCAGAAGAGCAGAACACAGAAATCTCATTTCTTACAATACTCATCCTTAATGATGAAAAACAAGAGTACACTGTTTATACTATATAAAAGTCACAAGCAATAATAAAATTTAAACAAATCCAACTGCTGTTAGCAACAGAGCTAAGTTAATTAGCCAAACAGTATTCACACATCAATTTAAAACACTATGAACTAAATACATACAAATTACACTGCTTGTAGTCTATAAGAATCACAAGTAATAATTACAATTCAAACAAATCAAACTGCCAATCGGAAGACGAGGCCTACTGCCATTAGCAACAGAGCTAGGTTAATTAGCCAAACAGTATTCACATATAAGTTTAAAACACTGAACTAAATACAAACAAATTCACGCATACAGGGCTAATATTTATCCACGTGTTATTCTCCTGAGAGTTACATATAATTTCTTACCTTATAAAAGGACAAAATGTAAGAAAAGAAACAGCAGGGATGAAACCAGTGCGCTTTCACTTACTCTTGTATTGAATATGCAGAAGAGCGCACTAGTCCCCCTAGTGGACTCTTTTGATAATGGCGCCAACACACCCCTCTTCCAGACAAACGACCCAAATCAATTCTTCCACACCCCAAACCAAACTAAATTAATGCAGATGATCAAAACAATTAGAATCAATATCAACAGGATCAAGTGAGTATTATACCCTGCAACACAAGCATATATATATATTGGTATATTTAAACCAATAATGTTTGTTTCTTCCTCTTCAGGTCCTCTACAGCATGTTTGCCTTTTTGGCCGACATGCCATCCATCTCTTCCACGGATGTTTTCCTGGGTGTGGCCCGCTTCTTAGTGGTGGGTATCGGCGGGGTCTTGTTCGGCGTCCTGTTCGGCTTTGTGGCGGCGTTCACCTCCCGCTTCACGAGCAGGGTGCGTGAGATTGAGCCGCTGTTCGTCTTCATGTTCAGCTACCTGGCCTACCTGGTGGCTGAGCTTTTCGCCATCTCCAGCATCATGGCGTAAGTTGATTGGAAAGGATAAATTCTTGTTGAAGCTCCAAAGTCAAAGCACTGTACAGCTAGTCAATCACATTTTTAGTTTTTGCACCTAGATGAGATGAGTATCACCTGACAAGCTGGGGCATGTAAAGTGACGGTTTTTAAGGCATTTGGGGCCCAAGGTTAAGGCAGGCATGGGGCCCTTTAAGTTATATTTCTTTCTTTTTTCACTTTATTTTTGCTGTCCTCCTCTCCATATTATCTGTTGTCAGCTTCTTTGCAAATCCTGCTCTCAGCATCTTAGGATGAGGGGATTCATATTAACCCCTAAAGCCAAAGTTTTTCTAGACATTGAACATGAAAAAACAACAAAAATAGAAAAAACGTCCCAGTGATTTATTTCCCAACGCATCCACTGTAGCCCAAACAAACTAAATTCAAAGCTTCCTTCCAAAATTACCTCTAAGCTTTCCCTAATTCAGTCGGACAAATATATCGGCCTGCTTATTTGGGGGGGAATCTCCCCTTCAACTGTTTTGATTTTCACTAATCGTTCATCTCCACACAACAGACCCTCACCAATAGGTATCGATGTCATTGATGTTGCTGGTAGCAGCCGGTGACCACTTGTAGCTGTTTTCACCTCAACCCACTTCTAGCCTCCGGTAGCTGCTGCTAGCCATCTTAAGCCACTTCTACTGACCTCTAGCCTCCGGTAGCTGCTGCTAGCCATCTTAAGCCACTTCTACTGACCTCTAGCCTCCGGTAGATGCTGCTAGCCATCTTAAGCCACTTCTACTAACCTCTAGCCTCCGGTAGCTGCTGCTAGCCATCTTAAGCCACTTTTACTGACTTCTAGCCACCGCTATCTGCTGCTAGCTGCAGATAGCCTCTTCTAGCCACCTCAACCCACTAACAGCCACCTCAACCTACTTCTAGCCACTATTATCTGCCACTAGCCACCTAAAGCTCTCTCAAGCCACTTCTAGCCACCTCTAGCAGCCGCTAGCTGCTTCTAGCCATTTCACGCTACTTCTAGCCACCTCTAGCAGCCACTAGCTGCTTCTAGAAATCTCACGCTACTTCTAGCCACCTCTAGCCACCTCAACCCACTTATAGCCACCACTATCTGCCAATAGCCATTTCTAGCCACCTCTAGCAGCCACTAGCTGCTTCTAGCCACCTCACACTACTTCTAGCCCCTACTAGCCACTTCTAGCTATATCAAGCCACTAGCTATAGATGCCTGCTAACCTCAGGTCTCCGTTTTCCTCCTCCTCCTTCTTTTTTCCAGCACTAGGGTAACATCTTTTCATATTTTTTTCCTTTTCTATTCTGTTTTTTTCCATGCCCCTTTCCCCTGTTTGTTTTCATATGTGTCACTGCTGTCTTCCTGAATCCTTTTACTCATGAGCAATAAAGCGGACTGATCCAATCCACTCTATTGTTGTGGAGAATGAAAAAGAACACTTTCTGCTGACATTTTATCAAGAGAATTGTAATCAAAAACATATTAACATGCACTAATAAGTAACATTTGTATGAGCACATTTACATGAAGAGTTTTATGGGGAGCCTGGGGCCCCAAACAACTACTTAGTTTTGCCTAATGGTAACTTTAAGTCTTGCCTTGTTATTTTCCACTTGCATCCCTTTCGTGAAGATAAAAGCTCCTCTTTGGCCTGACACATTACAACACAAACTGGCTCTTCCACATAACTCTGCAGCCTCAGCCTGCAGTGTTACGGAAGTGCAATGACTGCCAAATGTGTATGAAGATGACATAATCCGGGGAAAATAGTGTGTCTGTTTGCTCTGTCAGTTTCAGCATACTTTGTCGTGTGGAACTCAGATTTTTCCTATTTTTTGGTGTCATTCTCTCAATTATTTTGATGTGCGTTTGGATTGTGACGCTGGGAAATTAAATCAGGAATGTTTTGGGCCAAATAAAACTAATCAAACAAACAAACAAAAAAACAAAAAAGAACACAAATAAACCAGTTAAATGTGTTTCTGGGAATAAAATATGAAACAATACCATTTGAAGAATACTAAAAGCAAACCTAAACAGCTATATAGCTAAACTTAAACTTAAATGTTAACTAAATTACCGTAGACATTTCAATTTAAAAACCTAAGAACTTTGGAATAAACGTTTTTAAGCAGAAGGAAATAACGCTTCTAAAAATATATATTTTTAGGTAATTATATGCTAAAATATAACAATATTTATATCAAATCTATAGAAAAAAAAAGATAAAATAAATTAAATGGCATAAATAGAACTTAAATAATTTTATTTTCACAAATACCAAACCTACAGGCTTGTTTTTCTATTTTATAAAAACATTAAAATCTAAAGCAGAGAAAATAAAATAGCACAATAAAAACAAAACAAAAAAAAAACAGGTGGAGCAAAAAAAATAAAATAAATAAAAAATTCAAAACATATCTTTTCAGTTTCAAAGAGAGTCCAAACAAATTCAAACCATTAGTAAATACTATACTAATTTGTTCAGTTTTAGTAAATTTACAGAACTTACTCAGTCATTGGCGCTAACTAATCCTTTACCACCACCTAGTGGTCAAAAAGAGGAACACATTCAATCAGCTGAATTATTCAAAATCTCTCATAGGTGTAAAAGGCTTTTATTAGATAACAGATAAATTAACTATGTGACCTAAAATGTCCTGGTGGTCCACAATGAGAATGTTGTTCTAAAACGTAGAGGTCAATCGTTAAAGTTGAAGTGATAGAAGCTGTCGTTGTTTTCAAGTTAATTTGCCACAGGCCACAAACCGCACTGTTCTGACATATCATCCTGTTTCCATGTGGTTTCCAGCACCAATGTCTACAAACACTCTCTGCTGCCACAGTTGAACAAGCTCTGCACAAAATGACTTAGCAGTCCTCTCCTAAAGGTGAAACTGTCCTTGTTGAGCCCCATCCTGTAGGCAAAACCTTCTCCTATAAGATCTCATTGATCCAGAGACTCTTTTCTGAGCTGTTCTTAGCTGTTACCTGCATTTCTGAGGTCGTTTGAGGTTTATAGTAAAAAAAAAAAAGACAGAATGTTTACAGATCTATAAATATGGGTTATTAATATATTATTATTCAATATTTCATCAAATATGTCAAACTTACCCAAGAAATATTACAAAATATATATTAAAAACTTTTTTTTTGTGCTTACTTTGTTTAATCATTGATCAATTTACTTCAAGATTTTTTAAATCTATTTGTTATTTTTTGTTTATCTATCAATTAAACGTTTATTTCAAGATCTATATATTTATAAATATGTTTATTTGTTAATTGTTTTATTTAGTTATTTATTTTTAATACATTTGAATATGTATCTCCTTCATACTGGTGTTTTATTTTGAGAACATTTTATTTCTTAAACAAGTGTATTTTATGCTATTCATAAATTTGAATATTAAAGAATGCATTTCATAAAATTTTAAATAAATAGATATAGTTTGAAATTAACACAAATTAATGAAAAAATATAAATACATATATCTTAAAATCAATGAATAACTGAAAATAAAATCATTAATCAGATAAATAAAAGAAACTATACTTGAGTCAATCATATATATATATGTATATATATATATATATATGATGTAAATAAATAACAAATAAACTAAGAATGTTTTTAGAATATATTTTGTTCTATTCAATGTGGAAATGTATTTTATGAGATGATAAGTATTTTTTTTAAACAGTAATTTTTTTTGTGTTTAAGTTTGAATGAACCTGTAGTACATGAAGAGAAGGGTAAAACACTACATTTGATGTGTTTTCTTCTGGCATCCCTGCAGCATCATCACATGCGCCATAACCATGAAGTATTACGTAGAGGAGAATGTTTCCCAGAGGTCCTGCACCACCATTCGCCACGTGGTCAAGATGCTCGCCACAGTCTCCGAGACGCTCATCTTCTTTTTCCTTGGCGTGGTTACCATAACAACTGATCATGAGTGGAACTGGGCCTACGTCATGTTCACGCTGCTCTTTGCCTTCTTGTGGCGAGGACTCGGTGAGAAGTTCAGCTTGAACTCTGCTCATTCTGTAAAACCATCAATCATCACTTTATGAACCATTTGTAAACCCACTCTTCTAAAGGTATTCTGGTGCTGACCCAGATTGTCAACCCGCTCCGGACGATCCGGTTCAGTTTGAAGGATCAGTTTGGCTTGGCGTACGGAGGACTGCGAGGTGCAATCTGCTTCGCTCTGGCTTTCACTTTGGGGGACAATATCAATAGGAAGAACTTGTTCGTCACCGCCTCCATCGCTCTCATCTTATTCACAGTTTTTGTCCAGGTAGGCAAACCCCAACCTCATCGCTCAACATTCATGCATACTTGCAGAAAACCCAAGTCTTAGTCCTTTCAACTGACAAAAGCATTTCTACATATTATTGACCTTTTACGTTAATGAAAAATGCATGGTTTTGTAGTGGAAGGATAATGATATTTCCCTTAGGCATTCCTGGCAAATAAAGATTTGAAAGTTGTAGCATTCATTTTTCTATGCTATATTAATCTGTTTGCTTCTGTTCCATCTCCTGTCTGCAGGGCATCAGCATCCGCCCCATAGTTGAGTACATAAAGATTAGAAGAACCAACAAAGATCTTAATACTATTAATGTGGAGATCCATACCAGGGTGAGTAGCTGCCTTCATTCCCCCATATTACACTCTACGCTGATGATGCAACGATTTATATGTTTTTTCAATAGCTTAAATAAGATAGTATTATAGGAAGATTGACTGTATATTTCTGAGCAGGTGGTGGACAACAAGCTCAAATTGAATGTTTCAAAAACAAAGCGTACGGCATCGGGCTCTAAATTATGGAAATAAGATAGGATCATAAAGTTTGTTCATTTTAAAATTAAATAACTAAATAAATAAATACTTCTTGTACAGAAGAGGATTAGGGCCACTGAAAAAAAAAGTTAACCGATTTAAAAATTTTATTTCAGTTTAACATGGGAAAAAAGTCAGAATCCTGACTTTATTCTCAGAATTCTGACTTTAATTTCAGAATTTTGACTTTTTTCTCAGAATTCTGAGATTAAAGTCAGAATTCTGAATTTTTCCCATGTTAAACTGAAATAAAATTTAAAAATCAGTAGACTTTTGTTTTTTTTCAGTGGCCCTAATCCTCTTCCGTATTCTTGATATAAAGGAATATTTCTTAAAATAATTGAATTGATTTAAAATAAATCATTGGTTAAATAAATAAAATATAAAAAAATAATAATCTTAATTAATCAAAATCTATTGAATTAAGTCTAGAAATATACTTATTTTATGGAATATGTATTTAACTCTATCATGGAGGGAGTTTTTTAGTTGAGTTTTTGTGTTTTTGTGTCTGTCTGTCCGTCTGCATACAGGAAAACTTGAACAGTTATGAACAGATTTTAATGAGATTTTGCCCAAAGGTGCCCCTCATGCCAAAGAACTGTCCATTAAAATTTGGTAATGATCCACATCATGTCCCAGTTTTAGCCATAGATCTTGGTCACAAATGTTTTATTCTATTTTATGAACCTCTGTAGTCCAGCGAACACTTACTCTGTATGTTTAACTCAGTTTTGAGGAGTTATAGCTTTTTTATTTCTTCTTATATTTGTATTTTTCATTGTAGCATGCTTACTGTTTTGGTTTTTTTTTTAGGTAGACAATTTTAAGATCTGTCCAGGGACAACAGATGAAAAATAGCCTTTTGGATAATTCTGGTGCATTTGCAGGAATGCTTTTTAATGTACACTGTCCCTGTCAAATAAATGAATAAATATTAGGCAAAATCTGCTGCTTCCCAGAGCCCTGAGCTCTCCGGGAGTTTTTCTAGTTCATTTATTTAATTTTGAATAAAAGTCTCACAGTAGCCATAAACCAACCAGCTGTTTATAAAGAAAAATTTTATTGTAACATGCAGCCTTTTGTAGCTAAATCAATTGCTGATTGCATATTGGAAAGAATCATAACAAAATCTATACCAGAGAATAAAACAATAATGAAATGATGGAAAGAATTAATTTATTATCCAAGTAAAGATTATTGTCTGCTTATTATCAATCTTCATTTTGTATGTTTTAAGGTCTCCTTTT